GGGGGGGAGCGGGGGAGAACAGAGAACTTCCTATTTTTTAGTTTATTTGCTATTCTTTTTAATTATTTATTAATTAAAAAGTATTTGCTCAGGAGCCATGTACCTCGTGTTCTTGTTTCTGCCTCGTGCTTTAGGATAGGATAGTGAAATGCCTTGTGTCATGCCTCCACGTTTTAAACCATTCCTTATAATAAATATTTTGGTGCTCTTTGCTTGCATTGTAAATCTGGATTTGATGTAAAGTAGAATGTACAACTCAGCCTACATGTACTCCCACCAAACTGAACCTTCGGGAACATTTCTAACGTATTTATCATGTATTTATCAGTGATTTGAGTTGTTTCCAGCTTTCCATTTTGCATACCCATGGTTTCCTTCCTATTATATTAGCTTCAACGGTTGCTTTGTGTTCTTACCTTTCTTCATCCGTAGTTTTCTTCCAATTTTTAGTAGGAATACTTAACACGGGTTAATAGCAAAAAATGGTTCGAGGGCCCATAATTTAACAATGAATATGGTACCTGAATTGAACGGAATGGTGGAACATGATTCATGGGGCTGACCCCATATAGTTTGGACAAGGCTTAGATGGTGATGATACTTAACATTCTGTATATGGTTATGTTGCAGAGAAAATCATCCAAGCTGAATGGAGGAGGTGATGCATTTTGGGGAATATTCGGTTTTAAGGACAAGTTATTTAAGTTGGTAATAGTGCTTACTGGTGTATACTTTCATTTATCCTTGTGGTGTAAAATTCTATTGTAAAACCTGGAATTGGAGTGGAGAAATAACAGGTGTGGTATTCGTAAAGCATATCTCCTTGTGTTCCTGGGTTTTGGGTGTTTTGAGCGTGTATAGTTACGGGGCTTTATTTTATGGTTTGGTTTCATTTAGGCATGTTTGTGTTTCTTTTTGTCCCCACTGATGTAATAGAGGTGCTGACTGCTAATGCCCTTGAACATGTAATGCATACCTAATTGAAAGTTGAAAGGCTTGGCTTCTCCCTCGAAATTGGAATCTTAACTTTGTTGTTTGGGTTGTATATGGTTGTAGTTGTATGTATTAACGTCCATGACAGTAATGCTTTCTGCAGTCTTTTTTCTTATTTGGAAATGTGGTTTTTGTTGGTGATGGGGTGTTGCACCGGGAAGGACGGGGACATTGTTTAGTTTTCTTATTGGAATTTGTTTCACAAGAGTGCCTCTAGCATCCCATTAACTAGTATAGTTTTCTTTATTCAGTTTGGCTTGGTTAGAGCACCAGCTATTCCAAAATCCATCCTTCATGTTAATAAAGAAAAAGGAGAATGACTGATCAGCCCAGCTCAGAATTCTTTAGCCCCACCGTACAGGGGATTGTTCTGGAAGCCTTTTATGGGGTTTTCGTCATACAAAAGTAAGTTTTTTTGTTTTAAACAAAATCATTCCTATTATGAGGGCAACGAACTTTTTTTTTTTAGCTCCAAGGGCTGCACAACTGGGGTAGGCTGGTGGCCCATCCAACGTTCAAAATATCGATATATCCGATACGTGGTAGGGGTATATCGGATGTTTTGATATTTTTTTATTTTTTTTCAAAACTGATTCAGAGGAATCGGTCTAGGATCCCTCTATCTCCTGAACCGGTCAGACCCTTGATACACCTACTGTAAGGGTGTATCGGAAGAGTTTCAGAATGATACATATATCGGCCGATACGTAAAAGGTTTAAACTTTAAAGCATCGACATCAACTTTCATCGAAGGGTTTGGACACGCGGCATGGATGGAATGACCGAATGACCAAAATTGCCTCATTCCACCTGTATTGGTTGATGGTAAGACTACGAGGGATAAAAATATAATTAACAGAAGTTTACTTGATCAATTGGTGAAAAGGAAAATAAATAATTGATCTGGTTATCGAAACTGAAACCAATGAATGCTTTCAATTATAATGTCATTAAGTGCAAGGTTAGAAGCTTAGAGCAGGCAATAAAAGGCCAAGGTTCCAGCAAGGAAAATGGATGTGAAAACTACTCGCTCATTCTTTGGTATTAAGATTGGGTCATGACGTTAGGTAGAGTGCATGGACGGAATAGGACTCATTCATGCTGCCGATGCCACGTAACTGAAGTGAAGCGGACGTCCTCCCATGTTGGAACTTAGAACTAGAGGTGAGAGCTTAGGTGGTGAATTCGATCAAGGGACTTGTATGATTAACCATCATTACTAATGTAAAAGCTTTATTTATTTATATAATTTTTCTTGCCGGGGGGGGGGGGGGTGTAAAAAGATAAGCAATTGATGGTTGTTCCTAAAAAATTTCTCTCTTAGACTTGTAGTAAGCACTGCAACCTCAAATCATTATTTTCTAATTTGTAGCTTTCATTCAAAATTTCTTTTTTTTTGTAAAAAAAAGAGAAGTGTAATTTAATTGAAAGTTTCATAGAATTCTTAATATTTAATTGAAGCATGAAACAAATGGGTATAATACTATTGCCTAGTTATGTAAATTACAAGATATTCACACATTTGTTTTTGGTGCAATTTTATGAAAATTACTGATAATTTGTACTTTCTATTTGATGGGGATCAATCACCAATCCATGTACTGGTCCTGTCCTGCCTAAGAATGTTCTATGAGAAGTTGCTCCAGAAGAAGYCATTGGTTGAACATGTGCGGGAATAGGAGTTTCAGGTGAATGACCTGAAATGCAGAGGGCTCCTGTATCATCTTGTGACCAGTATACTTCAATCATAAGTCCCCTTGGATTTTCTGGTGATTCTGTTCCTGGAATCCCGACAAATCTGGCTCCTATAGGTATCTGCATAATCATTATACAGGCCCATAGTTTTAGAAAATAAGTCACCATATTAATTACTGAAAATATTATCAATTGATTACAGACACAATTCCATGTTGTTTGCTGCATTAATTAGATAAATTACTTACTTGAACAGAGGTTCCTGAGGTCAAGGTCAAAGTTTCCAAGTTTCCCTCAGCTGCAGCATTTTCTAGCTCTGCCTGCTTTGCAATGTTCAGAAACACTTCTTCCAGAGTTGTAAGACCAAGTTGGATGTCTGATATGCCAAATTCCCTTTCCCTATCTTGTAGTTCCCTGAAGAATTTCTGCATAAAAAGCAAGAAGAACAACTAGGGTATTACTTCTGAAATTGCTATTTATCATGTCCTTTTTGTTGGTTTTCACAATGTCAAGCTTTGTCATTGGATGTACATGCTTCTTTGAAAGGAAAACCATTTAGCAACATGAAATGAATAGGGGATAGTCTAGGTTAAATGGCAAATGGTATCACCCTTTATCAGATCATTTACCAGTACAATACAGAGGATGGATGAAATCAAAGGACTTGGCTATTCTCATCAGGGTCAGTTTTGAATGTGAAATTTGTGAGTGTGCTCATATATGATGGTTCATGTATGTTTCATCATGATAAAGGATCCTCAAAGTTTTCATGCAACTGTTGGATGTATCATGTATGGAGGTTAAGAAAGTAGAAACTAAAAGCAGGGAAAAGGTATTCACCGTCAACAGCCCCTCCTTTTCATGAGGAATAACGTAAGTCAGGAAAGCCTTGTTCTCCTCCTTGGGTACCACATCCAAACACTGTCAAATACATGCCATAAATGAAATCAGATGCAGTATCTATGGAATTAAAAGATTTATAAGGGTCTTTATTTATCTTACATACATCTTTGAAAAACTGCTTTACAGCTTGACGATGAAGTTCAGTTGGATCACATGCATCACCATTAATAGGAGACTGTCCAGGAGTATTTCCAAGGAAGCTTACATTAGCAACAAAACCGGTTCCAAACCTTGACTTCAACCTGATTGAGGTTCCGATGCAACGGAGCTTCCCCTTTGCCATGATTGCTATGCGATCACTCAAAATGTCTGCTTCTTCCATTGAGTGAGTTGTTAGAACAATTGCTCTTCCTTTTTTTGCATTCTCTATGATGTCCCACACATGCCTTCGAGTAATTGGATCCATACCAGTAGTCTGATAAAAGGTGGTTAAATGTGGTGGACAAAACAACACACACAATAATTAGGAATATTCCCAATTTAGCTTACCGGTTCATCCAAGATGACCAACTTTGGATCACCAATGAGGGCAATTGCAACACTCAGGCGGCGCTTCATCCCTCCGCTGTAGCTCCCAGATCTCATTTTGGCTGCCTCAGTTAGTTTCACCTCTGCCAATGATTTTTGAGCTACCTGCCTTGCCAACAAAATAATTTTGTGTAAGGAACAGAATGGATGAAAAGTTGGCTTTTCTTATGATTATGAGAGAGAATTAATCTATGGCAAGTTCATCCTCATCCAACATGGGGATCAAAGACAGAACTGTGATTAAATATCGCAAATAGAAGCAAAATGATACTGATGATCTAGTATGCTAAGGCATGTTTCTCTGATATTTATGAAAACAATTAAGTGAAGAATAATTTCCAGGCTTGTATGGACCATACCGATTTGATTGAAGTAGGAGGAAGCCCTTTAATACTAGAAAAGAGATGGAGATGCTCTTGACCACTTAAGGCATCCCAAAGAATATCAAACTATGAATGCACAGAAAAAGACAACTATTAGCCTCTTCATTTTCCAAATAAATAATGGTGCAAACATAGGAATGAGATTCAGTTATATGTCCCAGAGCAGAAAAAAAGGTTCTCAGAAAATGGAGCACCTGAGGACAAACACCTATTATTCTTCGAATGTTTGACATACCAATGGAGCTTCGAATGGAATATCCATATACCAGTGCTGTAAACAAGACGATTTTCAAGTGCGTGAGATGTTACAACCATGTCTAGATCAACTGGATATTGATGAAATCAAGGACCAGAATAGTAATCTATTACCATCTCCGCCTGTCACTGGTGTGATGCCAGTCAAACAATTAATCGCAGTTGTTTTTCCAGCTCCATTAGGTCCAAGAAGACAAAATAGCTGATCCTTTGGAAAATTCATCCATAAGCCCTGATAAATAATTTAAAAGTTTATCAGCTATATATTATCATATAAAAATATACCCCATGCAATGACTAAATGTTCCCGCCCTCTACTGAACATGGCTAAACTTGACGTGAATGAAGGCTAAACAGAAAAGATGATGATCATTGCAATATCCAAGGAAAAACACATTGGGATAAATACAGGAAGAATGACTTCTTCCAGTATTTATCCCAATCTAGTGTTGGAATTCATGTACGAGTAAGTTGAAGTGAATCCTACATTGGAAATGAACAAGAGGTGCGGGGGATTTATATACAAGAGTGGCCCAAAATCCAATAGCTTAAGCTTTTGGGTAGTATGTGATGTCCCTCTCTTGTGTACAAGTCCTACGCACGTGTGTACTGTACAAGCCCCAGGTTATGATGGCTCCCCTCAATATACAACATCTGGTATCAGAGCCAAAGGTTTGGCTGGGCACAAGTATAGATAAGATGCATAAGAGTGGTTGATCTCCCATGATGTCTCTATCCATAGGAATGATGCGAGGGGGAGTTTGGAATTCCCAATGTGGAAGAAACTCATACGTGTGGAATTCACGCATGAGTAAGTTGAAGCGAATCCCACATTAGAAACTCATACCTGTACGTGTACAAGCCCCCGGCTATGATGACTCCCCTCAACATACATCACCGAGTTACCAATTAATATCTGAAGGTAAAATGGTTATTTACCCTAACTGCATGGTAAGGAGAAGCCCTCCTGCATTTGCAGAAACCAATATTTGTGGTCCCAGGATATGTCTTTGCCAGACCACGTATATGGACTGCAACATTTGGATCAACTGCACCTTCAGTGATTTGCTGTTTTACAATGTTTTCCTCTTGAAGAACATCTTCATCATCCGGTCTGGCGTTCTCCAATTCTGGAACTGAACCCGTGCAACTACAAATGCCACCTTCTGGAATACAATAAATAAAAATTCCAGTCATAAATTGTAGCCAACTAGGATAACTTGCGACTTCTAAAGATAGTAATTCATTACCTTCCACTTTGTTTCCACCTTTCCCTGTCCAGTACCCAGGTTTCAAAAAGTAAAACAATGATTTTCTCAAACCGGATGAGTTGGGGAGTATATTGTCAAAGTAGATTGCCAAAAGGAACCACAGAAAGAATGTCGAGATGAGCCATTTATAGATGTCATCCTGTCATAAACATGATGTATTATCATAAAAATCAGACTCTAGATGCATACTTCATCTTATTTGATGAAGTATACTTAATATCAGTGCCTGCCAATGAATCATAATCCTAAATTGTGTATCCTTGGATGTTTAAGCTTTAAAGCGCATACGATGGTTATCACACAATCTAAATCCTTTGGTGGACATTCTGCCCGTCTATGCCAGCTGATGCCATCATCTTGAGGAGTAGCAGTTGCATCTGATAGAATATTAAGAGCGGCAGCAAGAAGGTTGGGAGGGAAAAAGGACCAGATGATTCGAAATGTTCTAGAGTAATCAGTGCTGTAGGGGAATCCAAAAATTGTCACAAGCTGCAAGAATGAAAGAAAATCTATTACCATGGCTACATCAATACTGGCTCTTCCTGAAACTGTACAGGAGAAATCTTACCTGTGTCAGAAATCCAATGATAAATACAGAAAATCCCACTGTTGTGGATGATGATGACTTGCTTACGAAAGTTGATATCATGAAGGCAAAACCAATCTAGCATCAGAAGTAATGAGTTAATTCGGAAAAAAAAAAAAGAACATCTTATGTTTGGGCTTGCTTGATAAAAGGCAGCATTGATAATCACAACTAAGAAAGCATAATGCAACTTACCATGTTGAATTGGAAAAGAAAGAACAAAAGGAACACAATTGCAAAACTGTTGTGCAGGAAAAAGTCAAACTGAAACATCATCCCGAAAAGAACTGTTAAAATTGATGAAAGAACTGCAATCAAGGACTCCCAAGTGAGCCATGACAACCAGTAGGCTGATTCATAGAGACCCATTATAGACATTGCCTGCAAGTTTGCACATGATAATAAACAACATAAAACACTGATTAGCAAAGAGACAACAATGGTATTCCTTTTGGAACAAGTCTAGAGCAGTCAATACCTGGCGAAGTTTGAGTTCTTTCTCAGTGATCAAAGAACTAATCTGGAAGACAAAACCGAACATGGCAATTGCAAGAAAAAATGTTGGTCCAGCTGTCCCTACGGCAGAGAAAACTTCAACAGCAGGGTGTGCAAATTCCTTAAGCCCCACTACCCAGCTAAAATTTGGATCTGTACATAAATTGATGTCCAAAAGAGTTAAGAGTCAGAGGTGAAGGAAGAGAGGACATTTCTATGGAATCATTTCTGAGGAAAAAAAAAAACATAGAATGGTATGGAATAGGTACCTCCAATCAGTGACCTGGCAATTTCACGCTCTGCAGCAATTTGAAGTGGAATTTGAAATTTAAAAGTGGGGTCCTCAAACTGTCCTCTCTTGGCTATAGGAGTTGAGTTAGTTTGGATCCCATAGATTATTACAGTTGAATTTATTTCAGCAAAATGCAGAGCTCCAGGACAACGCATGGGATCATTTAAAAGCCAATCATCCACTTCATTAGGTGTTGTAAAGGATTTAACCTGCTTGAACAGGGCAAGGTGTTTTTATACTCTGTCATTGAGCAGTTATACTTGTGCAACATTCCAAATGATAAAGATAAGATTCTCTTTTTATAAGGTGCGAGCTAGATTGCTGGTAAAATCTAACTGGTTGTAGCAGAGACCTGGTATCAAATTCCGCCTTCACCAGATTGCCACTCTGTAGTTAGGGGGTGGTGAGTGGTGGTGACACTTAACCCCCCAAAATTTGGTTTTATGACAAAGCACTCCATTGAATTTCTTGATTTGAGTTACTACTTACTACGCTTCCAAGCCTCTGCCAAAGAAGAAACCAAGTTCATCGTTGAGGGTTTTGGAAATTCAGTAACCCAATCCAAGAGAGATTGTGTTTTAGCATGCCCATTTTTGTTATTTTCATCACTTTGGGAGCCTTTGTATCAAAACAAAGTTCAGGGGGTTAAGTGTCACCGCCACTGAGTACAGGACGGTTAATTTACTGAAAATTTTATTTTTTAATGAGAATATAACCACGATATTTGAATATGAACAAAACATTTCTATTTACTAAAAAAGAAGAAGACTAAAACATTTATGAATATCTATGTTCAATTGAAAATCAAAGCAAGCCACAATAACTACTCTAAATAGAAGAATACACAGAATATTCTACCAGTTTTTTTCCAAATTAATTAATTAAAAGCTCCAAAATGAAATTGGATAACAAAAGCAAAGCCTGTAAAAAAAAAAAAAAAAGCTTCAAACCATCTGTATCCACCACCGACGGGTTTCAGCAAACACTACCAATATCCTAATCTGTTTCAGACATCATTTTCTATCATTCATTTATCCAATTCCATAAAATGCGGTACGACAAGCAGAACCTAATAAAGTTGCACAGCTATCTCTGAATCTTCTCCAGTATTTTCTATTCAAATTTCTATATAATAATAAGGTAAGAATTCACAATTAATTGAACCTACACTTAACATGAAGATTCTTGAAGCAAAATTTACTTGTAAGGTTGATTGTGATATGTTCAACCGTCAACAATCTAAAACTCGGAAGAGAGACTAGACTGTACTTTGAACGAACCTTACTGGAAGGAATGGGTCTTCCCGGATTGTTGGCCATGATACTGGCTACTATTGATTGAATCTTCGCACTACCATTCCCACTCCATACGAAATCATAGCATGGAAGCTTAACGTAGAATTTGTCCTCGCATGGAGGAATTGGAGGAGAGATGAGAGGCTCGGGATCGAAGACGTTCTTATACGAAGTAGTCGTAGAGAAACGAGCATCAATGGCTTTCTCGATGCAGAAGATAAGGAAGATGAAGAAGAGAGACGAGAAGAGTTGCAGAAAGGTAGCTCGTCTGTTCCTCCATGAAAGGAGGAGATTCTTCTTGAGAAGAGCGTTGAATTGTTGGACAAGTAGAGGAAATCCTCTCTGCAAATTGATCACTTCTCCCTTCTCCATTAATTCTGTTTTTCCGAACTCTCAAAGTGCGTTTTACAGCAGTTTTCTTTGAGGATCATCGATAGGATACTTGTATATAAAGCAGGCAAATTTAAACAATTAATAAATCATTAAAACAAAGAAACTCGCGCAGTTTCGCGGAATTTGTTTTTCCTGTTTTTAATAGAACTGGTCAACTACTTGTTGCAATTCTTCTTGATTGTCAACTGGCAATCTACTTGTGGAATAAACAATAAAAGATGCCTTCGAACTGGATGTATCCACATCCAAATTTGATTTGTTATTAATATATTGGATTAAAAGCAAATTTTATGCATTGGGTTGAGAGAAGATTTGGATTTAGATATTATGTATTAGTAATCAATTAATGAATAAAAATTACTTACTTAAGTTATTGCAGACTTTTATTTAGCTGAGTCTTTTGTAAGTATTGTGGGATCCGTTGAAATTATAAATGGGTCAAATAATTTGGATCACCTTAATCCCATCAAACTCAAATTCCAATTTGGACAAAAGATATTAATAATTAATAATGAGAAATTGGGGAAGGTCCCTGTCCCAGAATTGAAGAAAGAAAAGCAAGAAGGGTATGATGGGCAGTTCAAAAATTAAAAAGTTTGGGAAGAGAGGACAGTTTGGGAAGTTCAAATACCGTGTTTTAATTAGCTGCTTTTATTCATGAAAGAAAGATAAAGAGAAAACAAAAAGGTTTTTGAAAGGAGGAGGATGGTGTGAGAAGTACTAATTCAAATACTTGGTTCTTTTGTAAAGAAAGAGCAGCAGCTCATGAGCTCAGCTCTTGTGTCTGTGGACTATGCATTGGTAGATGATGCTGCCAAATTTGGAGCCGAGGACAGCGGAGTTGTATCCGACGGTTACGGGTCTTGCCTGTTAAGAGTGAAAAAATGTAAAAGGCCTCAATAGTGTTTTCACACTCCGGCAATCAAGGGAGAAAGTTAAAGTCACCACAAGACACAAGAGTATTAGTGATAGTTCAAGTATGCGTGCATACCTTTAGCTGTTTATAGTAGGAGTGACCCAAGTGAAGAGTAATGCACGGTGTGTAATCGTCCCATAGACTGTGGTCACGTAGGGAGATTTAGTGAGGCGTCGATCGATTAGACCTGTTCATGGGCCAAGTTCGGGCCTAGCTTTTGCCAAAATTTGAATGGATTTGACCTAAAACCYAAAACCCGAGCTCGATAGTGTAAAGTCAGGCCCGAAGCTCAGCCCATGAACAGGTCTATGGTTGACCACTGTCCCTTAATTAGTGACTCAGGAGTAAATGCGCCCAGAACGTGTGCCCATAATCGCCAAGGGTAGGAATTACCCAATTAACTTTAGGAGATTGTCCTCTATCAAAAATATCCCTAATCGATGCCATGTGTTAAGGTTCAACGGGCTGACCAAATATACCTACAGTATGAGTGAGTAGTAGTACTGTCCATGGTTTTCAAAACTGGACCGGACCGGACGGTCGGACTGAAAAAATCGGAAACCAATCAGGTGACCGGTTCCGTTTTCCCCAAAAATCGAATTTTCCCCCAAAACCGTTGATTTTGGTCAATGAACCACTGAACCGGGCAGTTAACCATTCAAACGGTTTTGACTGTTTTTTATTTTTTTTGTCAGAATGGACCAAGTGTTTGGTTTGAACGGTCGGACCATTCGACCGGGTAACTGGACCCCTGACTGGTTCGGTTACCGGGTCGGTTTTAAAAACCATGGTTCTACCTTCTGCTACTGGTAGTTATCCGTCTCACCTGAAGCTGAAATACAATGTTTTAAAATTTTTTAAAGTTGAAACTTGAAAGGGAGGGTTTTTTTTTTTTATTTTTTTTGTGTCCGTGTTCAGCAGGCAAATAAATAAAAGTCAACCACTGAACAGTGAACTATTGGCCTTGTTAGTTACTATTATTGATGTCATGATGATCAAATGAAGAAGCTAGCTTACTTGCGGGCCAAGAATTGATACTTGCGGGACACGTGTGCTGAATATCACCTAATACATAATCTGACTTCAATAATATTTGAAAAGCCGTTAACTGCCTACACTCTCAAGTCATGGAAGATAATTTTGTTTTGGATTTGGGGTTAGGAGATGGAGGCTTTGGTTTGGTTCCTTTCTGTGGGACTTTGATAATTGACAATCAACTCGTGGAATTCTCTCTGCAACATGACTTAACTTCAATTGAATGAGGAAAAAAACCCGAAGTTACTTTGGAGGAATCATGATATATGATTGTATGCTGTGTCAGGCACACGCTAGCCTGACTCTTGGAGTTGGTGTGTGTTACTTGTAGTGTAATTGGCCCACTACTACCTATTAACTATTAACTATCAACGAAGTAGAGCTGTATACGATCCATATAACAATAACATTTCGTCATGTATCATCCGGTTTACGGATAGATCATTCGGACACCTTACAAGTCTGGGGTGAGAAAAAAAAATCGAAACCAAACTGAAAATCGGTTAATTGAATTGATCGATTTAGTGTTTTTAAAAAATTGAAGGTATTGGTTCGGTTTCGGTTAATTAATATAGAAAACCGGCAGTTAATCGAATCGACCGGTATATATATATACATTTTATATATTATAAATTAATAAATATGCATTATATATCAATATATATTTATAATATATGATATATTATTTATTATTAAAATATAATATTTATAATATATATTATAAAAATTAAAAAATTGAAAAACCAATAAACCGAACCGATGATTAATCAAACCGGTTAATCGATTAACTGACTGGTTTCAATTCAATTTGATTACCAATTTTCCAAAAACCAATAATACCGGTTCAATCCAAGAAAAAACCCCACGGCTTGGTTAACCAAACCAAGAAAAAACCCCTATTACAATAATTACAAGTAGGGAGTGCAAAGTGCACTTGAATCAAATCTCTCAGGATAAGTTGAGTTCGATTAGTTATTGGAACTCAAGTTCAACTAAATCTCTCTGGATAAGTTAAACTGGGCTCAAACCTCTGTTTTCAATGTTTGGAGCCCATTGAAATTAATTCATCAAATTTCAATTAAATCGGCTCGTGTTTGGTTGGAGCTAGCCCATTGAATATATTCATCAAACTTCCAACCCAACCCAACCCCACCCAGGTTTCAGGCTTTCAGCCATTCATGACATTTTAAAAAATAGAAAGAAAAAACAAAACAAAACAAACCCAGTTGCCAGTTCCTAAACAGTAAACACACCCTCTAAGCTAATGAAGCTTCCTTTATTGTTTCGAGTTCCTAAACAGTAAACACGACCAAACTATCAAGACTGTTCTTCTGTGTATTTGTTTATGTTTCAACTTCCCAGTAAACCATTTTGGACATCCCTGAGAAGCAACCGTATTGTATTTGTTGACACAAATACAATTTCTAAGTAAATCAGTCTGTGACGAAACTCCTGCTGACTATGAGAACAAGGCAACTGATGGTGCCGCCCGCCCTAGCTAGTTGTTTTTCAGCGATTGCTTATTCTGCTCTTTGATTTAAAAATTCTGACCAGTTAGAATTTGTTTCTTATGAATGTTTGAGACTTCAATCCACAATGCCCAATTCATTTGTTCGTGTTTAAATTAGATTTCAAATAAACCTTGCTTATCTCAGGAAACATTGACCTGACCGTGTAATGTAGTCTAGACCCATGGATGAATCCAGTATGTAAATTGTTGTTAAGTTTCAGGGAAGCTACTTGAAGAATTTCTCGTGTCGTGTGTAAATTCTATGTCCAGCACCTTGTCTTTGTCATGCCTGTCTAACATATCAGTGAAGTCATTCTTGGTTTGTGAATTTTCTTCTAATTTTACAAAGAAGACGACCAGAGCAGATTGTTGACCTTGTGGTGAAAGTATACCCATTCTGATATGAATCCAATTTGTTCAACAAGATTTCAGAGCAGAGATTTATGTAACTGACCCTTCTTTTTTATTCCTTCCTAAAACATACTAGCTAATAACACTAATTTGTCAAATACCATCGAGTTAATCAGCTTTAATTTCCATTGAATTTCTCTCCATCTTTTCAAACTTTTTGTTTTACCCTGTTTTCCATTACCCAACTCCTGTTTTCTTCTTGGTTAGGTTTTCGCATGGTGACGTGACATAACATTTCATTATTCCGTCCCAAATGTATGAAGTACTAAGGATCAAATGCTTGAACAAGCCTCTTCGTTATCGGTTTAGACTTTAGAATTATAATCCAGCCTTATTTGTAGTTTATTCCTTCAGGTTCTTATCCCTTCTTAGTTTTTCTATTTCGTGAGAAATCTACAGTCGTTGGCACTTGACAATGGTTTGCTTCATACATAATTACAGTTCGGATGAAGAGTTTTTAATATGTTTTTTTTACCAAATTCTAATCAATTCTTAGTTACAACTTAGGACCAGACAATGGCGTGCTCATCCCTTAAAAGGATTTGATATGTTCATCTTTGATTTCAAAGCTTAGTTAGTCAGCCTTAAACTAAAAAAAAAACTAAATCCTCTGCTCCAAATTCCAATTACTTTCACCTGTTAACAACTGTGATGACACTCCCAACTGCTCCAACTATTTTTAATCCTACAAACTGCACTTAATTATATATTATAAAACTATAGATTTGGACAGTGAAATGCAACCTTCCCTTCACCTACGTTCCTGCCTGGAAGTTTGGTAATTGATTATATTTATGTATATAATAAGCTTACCAAGATATGTTGACCATATGCTAATACTATATATGCGAAATAACTACATGATAACATTCATATCATGATGATTTCATCTCATGTCTCATGGTTTACTTTACTCAATGGATTTGTATCTGCTGACCGCTGACCACATCGATCAGTATTTCATTGAGAGATGTTTGGGATGTGGTCAGCGTTTCATGGTCAGCAGATCCGAACTCCTCTGGATGGAATCTGTGGTCACAGCTGTGGAGAAAAATTCTTTGGTCACAGCTGAAGTGGCTTAACGAGTTATTGCTTCTGTCCTTTAATTAACTACAGGTTTTTATTATTAAGATGGTTGTGAAATAA